ATACTTCTCCCACCACCAGCTAAGTGAAGCAACAGTTTGATTTTTAGCTAACATTAGCAAAGCGATGCTAATTAAAAAAAACACGATAGATATGTTTACCTCTGCAGTCCGGAGGGAGGGCGGTTTCTTCAAAGCCAGTTTGAAAGAAGTTTCCATGGCTCCAGTCATTTTCATAACTTCGGCTCAAATCCCCCTGTATTACTTCCTCTCGAGGTATCCTCACTTCCCCGTCTCCTAGTTGCTCCTTTAGCCGAAACAACTCACATCCCCGTGGATCTTGTCCCCGCCGAGCTGAGCATGGATGGAGTTTACCCACCACTCCTCCTCCAGGAGAAGGGAGAAAAAACTTGACTCGTAACTACTGCGCGTCCGAGAAAGAGTAGATACAACCGAAAAAGTGTGACAGAAAGTTAATTCTCTCTGGCCTTTGGTGTTGAATTGTGTACATCTTTGGTAAAGGAAATATCCAGCTCAGTAGCTTGCGTCAGTGATCCAGGAGTTCAGATTTTAGATCCCTCCTCCTGCAGAGAGGGAGAGTTGACGACATCTGTCTGAACGGAGAGGAGGCGGCATTCAGGGCCGGTCGGAAACAGGGGAATATCTGGCAGCAGTGACACATGAGCGAATGAAGTGAAAAGATATTCGGGTCATTCCTAGCATTCGGTGCCATTTAGGTCCCCACCACATTATATCATATATTTTTTTATTTTAAAGGTCTAATTCTTATTTTTTAAAAGCTTGGTTTTAAATGTTTATACCCTCTACCATAAAACAACAATGTTATTTAGCCAGGATATTCAAAATTCGAAATAATTAGTCTGATTTTAGCACAAGTAGGCCAAATTGCTGTGTCCCCAATCATTTTTGCTCAACTTCTGTAACACATATACAAAAATAAATCAAATAAATACAAACAAATTCTACATTTTTGTCACTGTTGTATAACCATTTTGCTAATATTCCTCACCAAATTGAAATTGTTGTTGTTAATTCATTTGTATTGAAAATAAAGTGTGTGTCCCCTGTTTGAATGTCCCCGCTGTTACTCTGATTTGAATCCCTCTGGACACGCCCCTTTACTATTCCACTATTTGTATGACTCAAGAAGAAGAAGGATACATTTTGAGTGGGAAAATCATCTTCAAGAAGCAGAGTGAAGGCGTTCTTCCTTCAACGTTTTTTTTAATGTTTTAAATAACTTAACTGTTGCGGTAAAGCATAACATGTCCACCCTGTTTTGCTCATTTTTAGTGGAACTAATCATTTGTTTTACATTTAGAAAATACGGTGAATATATCTATCAAATATATTTTTCTGTTGTCACCAAGTGCTAGTATTATCATCACACATGTAGCAATAGCCAAGTTTAGCATAAAATGTCCACCCTGTTACTATTTTTCACAGTGGACACACAGTAACTGGGGATGGTAAAAAAAATTTTTTACCATCCCCAGTTACTGTGTGTCCACTGTGAAAAATAGTAACAGGGTGGACATTTTATGCTAAACTTGGCTATTGCTACATGTGTGATGATANTCGTCGTCGTCGTCGGTCGGTCGGTCGTCGTCGTGTGGTGTGTGTGTGTTGTTGTTGTTGGTTGTGTGTGTGTGTGTGTGTGTGTGTGTGTGTGTGTGTGTGTGTGTGTGTGTGTGTGTGTGTGTGTGTGTGTGTGTGTGTGTGTGTGTGTGTGTGTGTGTGTGTGTGTGTGTGTGTGTGTGTGTGTGTGTGTGTGTGTGTGTGTGTGTGTGTGTGTGTGTGTGTGTGTGTGTGTGTGTGTGTGTGTGTGTGTGTGTGTGTGTGTGTGTGTGTGTGTGTGTTATTTTGTTGAACACAGAAAAAACCTAATTTGAAAGATTAGTTTCAGGTGCAGTTTACTACTTTGACTCTCTTCCAAGTAACTGAAAAAATCCAATATCATGTAGTACAATTACTTTACATTGGGTTGGCAATAGTTGTATGTGTGTGGCCTGTCAGGGTTCTGTAAAGACAGTGGCTGCCATCAGGTTCCTATCAGGGCTATTTAAAGTGGCCACGCTCGTACTTCTCAGAATTGCGGGGTCATGGTAAAGATATAGTTTTTAAGCTGCACACACACGCAGTAGCATTCTGGTGAGTAAGCGCTTGTAAGTCGATTTAACATCTAGTTAGGACTGCAGGATATTTCTCATATCACCTTATGGGTTGGTCTTGGTTTAGCCTTTCAAGATAATAGTTAACTGGCATACGACCATATCAGCACATGACTAATTGTATGACTCGAGAATGAATCGAGCCAAGGAAAGTTAAGTCTGTGCTTTACGAGAACCTTATGCAGCTTACTCCGACAATTCCCAGAATCACATTTATCACCAAGCATTTGTTAGTGTTCAGTTTACAGTTTCACAGCTAATGCCGATACATGATACTGAGGCAGCAGGACCTCACTAACCGTGCAAAGACAAAGTGAAGCACATAGACTGCAGATTGGGTTACTCTGAAATTGATGTTAAACATTTTCATGTTCTATTTAGTTATATGCACAACTAGAGATGTTCCGATCACGTAATCGGGGATCGGAGCCGATCACGTGATTTTCAAAAGATCGGAATCGGGATTTTATTTAATGTTACAAAACAAAAATGACCATGTTCATGTCTTAAAGTCATCCTGAGGCCTTAGTTTTGGTTTAAAATTACACAACATCATGTATGTGTTGCTTCTTTTGGGCTTGTTTTCATAGACCTGGTTGCTTATTTCTCTCAAATCTGGCAACAGAGTGGCAGGGCGCAGTGTCTAATAGTAGCAGTAAGCTAACGAGAGGCTACGTTCAGCTGGTGACTCGGGAGTCGGGACAGAGAAAATGTCAGGAGTTTGGAAGTATTATAAAATTGAAAGCGAAGGCAGTGTAACAGCCAGATGCAATGTTTGCAAGGCGGAGGTTCCGTGTGGTGGAAAGAACAGAGCTACGTTCAACACGACCAATTTAATACACCACCTGAGAAACAAACACAAACAACAACA